CTCCCATGTTACACCTTCCTCTTTGCAATCAAAGGTGAGGCCCAGTGACTGGCACATGGATACTGCTGAATGAGAACCATAGTCAGTAAATTAGTGCATAGGGGAATTTTTGCTCTTAAATATAATAAAGTTGGGCCAGATTTTAGAAATGTGAAGAGAGACATGACTTACATGTTAATAATTTCACTTCTCTCTAAGGGCTGTCAACTTAGCACTAATGATATTGTCTCAAATATTTAAAATATAATATCCTACCCTCCCCTAGTTGGCACACGATATAAATGGCTTTAGGAAATTCAACTGTTCTAATGTTCTAAAGCTAAATTTTTGTTAAAAAGGAAAAACGCAGGTATGAAATGATATTCCATCACACATGTTTTAGTAGTCATTTTGCTCTGTTTTTGTGAAATATTCTCAGAACAACCGAATCAGCTAAATATAAAGAAAAGAAAACAGTAACGAGAGTGATAAGCAGTTCCACTCTGACCAGGTAGCTCAGCTGGTTAGAGCATCTCCCCTGGGGGACAGGGCACATGCAGGAACCGACCAATGAATGCAGAGATAAGTGGAGCAACAAGTCCATGTCTCTGTTTATCTCCCCCCCCTCCCTCCCTCTCTTTCAAATCAAGGCAATTTTCATTTCTATTGAAATATGAAAGTATAGAATTTCTTTTTTTCTTTTTTTAATAGGAGGTCAAACTGTGTTTGGCATTTGTTTTTAATATATTTTATTGATTTTATACAGAAAGGAAGGGAGAGAGAGAGAGAGTTAGAAACATCGATGAGAGAGAGTCATCGATCAGCTGCCTCTTGCACACCCCCTACTGGGGATATGCCCGCAACCAAGGTACATGCCCTTGACCGGAATCGAACCCAGGACCCTTCAGTCCCTAAGCCGACGCTCTATCCATTGAGCCAAACCGGTCCCGGCTGAAAGTATAGAATTTCTATTTTTTTTAAAATATATTTCTATTGACTTAAAAAAGAGAGGAAGGGAGAGGGAGAACGAGAAACATCAATATGAAGGACAGCCTTTAACCAATTGAACCACACAGGCCAGAGCTAGAATTTCTATTTTTAATTTGAAGTCTAGAAACAAGACTAAAATAGCCTATTAAAAAAAAAAAAAAAAAAGTTTCTTTGTAAAATAAAACACATACTAAAATTAAAAAAAAAACATAAGGAAAATTATTATTCTCAGGGACACATAATTTTAACAATCTCAATTTTCAAAACTTGGTTTTTGGAACTAGAAGCAACCGGTTCTTCAAACTGTTTACTAATTTGAGATAAAACCTAAATCAGAGCTCGGCCTCCTGGATGTGAGAGGAACTGCACCAGGCTGGGCAGAGGCCACATGAGGGAACTACTGTGGTGATGTTTTGAGGTTTAGAATGCATAAAAATGATGGGGAACTGAAGAAGTTAAAATTTTAGCTTCAGTTATATCATTAATAGGCTTGGTAATTAATGCATGTAGAAAGCTATTGTTTCAGGGACTGGAGTATATAACTGGACCTGCTCTGACTTCAGGAGCTCCAAAAGCAAGTCCACCTTTCTGTCCTAGGATGACTGCAAGGGACCAAGAAGGTATCTGAGCCATTGTCCTCCATGGGAGAATGTCTGCTGCCCAGGATGTAGATAGGAGTCACCAGTCAGCAGACGAAGGGATGCTCGAAAAATCACTGGACTGCAGCTTTTGTATGATTAACCTTTTCCCCTAAATTCCAAACTCTTTACCTACACTTTTCTTCTCCGTATAAAAAAGGTTGGCTTGAGCCCTCACTGGTTTTGCTTGGTGATAGAGCATTGGCCTGTGGCTGAAGAGTCCCAGGTTGTGGGCTCAATCCCCTGAGGGGTGTGCAGGGGGCAGCTGATCAATGGTTCTCTCTCATCACTGATGTTTCTATCTCTCCCTACCTCTCTGAAATCAATAATATATGTATATATTTTTTTTTATTTTTTTAAAGGGTTGGCTTGAAATGAGATATAAGACAGTATTTTTAGGGTACATAACCTGCCCATCTCCTCAGGTTGCTGGCCCTCTAAGTAAAGCGCCCATAAAGAGTCAATCCTTGCCTCTACTTACTGGTTCTCATAGTGACAGGTTTCAAAAATATCTCCTCAATTAGAAGCACCTCAGTTATAAGAAGATGAGTCATTTTATTCCTGAACTTGACTCTAGAAGAGCAAATGTTCCATTTTTCTGAAGCTCAAAAGACTTCTTTAAGTGCAAAGCCCCGGTTCTATACTAAAGAGCAGTGCTTCTCAAATGTTAATGTGCAACTGAATCGAGGCCTTGTTAAAATGCAGAATGTTTTTTGTTGTTGTTGTTTTTAAAATATATTTTATTGAATTTTTACAGAGAGGGAGAGGGATAGAAAGCTAGAAACATGGATGAAAGAGAAACATCGATCAGCTGCCTCCTGCACACCCCCTACTAGGGATGTGCCTGCAACCAAGATACATGCCCTTGACAGGAACTGAACCCAGGACCTTTCAGTCCGCAGGCTGATGCTCTATCCACAGGTTTGGGCAAAATGCAGGTTTTGATTCACTAGGTTTTGGATGATGTTCAGGATTTGCATTTCTAATAAAATCCCAGATAAAGTGGATGCTACTGATTCATGAACCAACTTGAGCGCAAGGATATATACGGCATACATTTGTAGCTTCCCAGACTTTACCATCTAGTAGAGGAAAACTTGTAAGTAAACATGTAACCATAGTAGTTTTCTTTGTCATTCCTACCTACTGATTATCTAATACAACGATAGTATTTATTTTTATTATTTCTCAATTATAACTTCTTTTCATGAATATGTTGACATAAAATGATCCCATAGGAAAATATACAAAAGATAAATATTATGAACAGTTTCACTTAAAAAAGAAGAAAATAAACTATGAAAAAATCAAATTGTACAATATAAGCTTCCCAACTGAAATAATTAAAAGTGTTTCAGTAGTCCTAACCAGATTGGTTCAGTGGATAGAGGGTCAGCCTGTGGACTGAAAGGTCCCAGGTTCAATTCCGGTCAAGGGCATGTACCTTGGTTGTGGGCACATCCCCGGTGGAGGGTGTGCAAGAGGCAGCTGATCGATGATGTCTCTCATCGATGTTTCTAACTCTCTATCCCTCTCCCTTCCTCTCTGTAAAAAAATCAATAATATATATATATATATATATATATATATATATATTTTTTTTTTTTTTTTAAGTGTTTCAGTAAACAAAGAAGAAAAAAACTCCTCCTACACCCATCCAATTGTTCCATTAAAGTTTTTTGGATGACGTCAACATTAACCAACAGTGTTCATTTTATCTATATTTATATCTCCTGTTTTAAACAACCAGATGAGTTAAAATACAGGAATTTCTTAGTCATTAAATACATATTTATTGAGTATCAGCAATGTGTTAGGCACTGGGCTGGGTGCAGAGGAAGAGAATGAATGAATGGGGAGAGATAAATAATAAACTCGTAAATAATTCATTGGAAATAGAAACATCCAGCACTACCTGGCCAGGCATGTGAGTGAGCCACTGTGGAAACATTCTCCAGCCCCAGCCTTCAGGTGACTGCAGCCCTGGCTGAGGTCTTGATGGTCATCTAATGAGAGACATGAGCCAGACCACCCCGCCTGGCCATTCTTGGATTACTGAGCCATAGACACTGTGCAAAAACAATAAATGTTGGTTGTTGTAAGCCACTAAGGTTTGGGGTGACTTGTTACACAACCATGAACAATGACTACAGAAAGAAGTAGGTGAGAGGTAAGAACACACCTATTTAATAAGGGTGGTCAGGAAAGCCTTCTTTAAGAAGACATTTGCCCAGCCAGTATGGCTCAGTGGTTTAGCATTGACCCATGAACTAAGAGGTCTCTGGTTCAATTCCTGGTCTGGGCCTGGGTTGTGGGTTTGATCCTCAGAAGAGGGGCATCAGGAAACATCTGATTGATGTTTGTCTCTCAGTGATGTTTCTATCTCTCCCTCTACCTTTCTCTCTTTTCTAAAAATCAATGAAAACATTTAAAAAGAGAAAAGAAGACATTTAAGTTGAGACAGATAAGTTCAGCCCTGAGTAGAAGGTGGTGTTTTTGGTAGCAAGATGAAGAGCACTCCAGAACAAGGGAACCAAGTGACGGTCCTGAACAGGGTGTGGGGGCAGTGTTGCCAGAGCTTTCCTACAGGAAAGATGAGGTGCCAGGACCGGTTTGGCTCAATGGATAGAGCGTTGGCTTGGGGACTGAAGGGTCCTGGGTTCGATTCCGGTCAAGGACATGTACCTTGGTTGTGGGCATATCCCCAGTAGGGGGTGTGCAAGAGGCAGCTGATCGATGACTCTCTCTCATCGATGTTTCTAACTCTCTATCTCTCCCTTCCTCTCTGTACAAAATCAATAAAATATATTTAAAAAAAGAAAAAAAAGAAAGAAAGATGAGGTCACAGAGGTGGTCTTAGCCATAGCAGGCATGGCCTCTTGTAGAGTTTAAGTTATTCTCAACACATTGGGAATCCTTTCACGAGTCTTTAACAGAAGACTAATGTGATGCCCTCTGTTTTAAAAACTTCCAAGGGGCTGCAGTATGGGAAAGGAATCCTTATGCCAGGCCTGCTCTCTACTCTTCATTCCTCCAGAGGCTCAGATAAGCATGATCAGGAAAGGCTTAAAAGTATGAGGAATGGTATGAGTGTGTCATTACTATTACTACCACTGTTGCTGTTACTCTAGACTCAGGCCTGGCATGGCCTCTGGAGTGCTGCAGGGGAAGAAGCAAGCATTGGGAGACAGCAACAGGCTCTCTGGATTCACAGGGCCTCATGGCCTTTTCCGAGGCAGCCTCCGAACCTCAGAGCTCCCAATCACAAGCAGAGATGGGGGTGTATACGTGCTAACCCTACAATGCTGATGAGGAACAAAAACGAATTTACAGCACAAATATTTACTTTTGGGTACAGGTATGATTTTTAAAAATATATAACTTATTTTGCAGGTAATGTGTATTGCAGAAAATTTTCAAGAGCAAATATGTAAAAGAGAAGAAACTAAAATTACCAGTTACCACAATTACTCTAAGATAAAAATTGCTTTCAACTTCCTTTTGGTAAGTATCCTTCTAGTATCCCTATGCCTATATATGAAATATATACTGGTTACAACTATGATTTTTTTTTTAATTTCTCCTCCATTATAAAAACCATAAGTGCTTATTTTAGGCTGTTCGAAAATTGCATAAGGAATAAAAATCTAGCATCAATAATATGACCTCTATCTATTTCTTTCTGAGAATCTAAAGGTAGTGAAACTCACTCCAGTCTGCAGCTGTCACGCTGAGCTGCCATTTTACAAATATTCACTTCCTTAATTTCAGCCTACCTCCTTAGCTCATTAAGAAAGGAAAACAGAAGTTGAGGACTGTTCACTGTATAGAGGATTTGGCATATTTGTATACCTCACTTTGAGATAAATAAGTCATGTGTGGGTGTATAAGAGACTCAAATTCTGCTATCAACAGCTCTCTGTAATATATTATAAAAACTGTGCTTGAAGAAATGGATAAACTTCAAGTAATTCACACAGTAGGAATGCACAAACTGAATTTTCAACCTCAAAACAAAACCTGTCCAGTGAAGTATATTAAATTCTGGCTATCTGGTTGCCTACATTTCTCCCAATGTATTTTCAATGACCTAAATCCATGTTTGACGTAAAAGTTCATCCTTTCCTGGACACCAGCCATTCTTATTTTCATATGCTTCCCTGGACTTGCCTGCAAAGTCTGTTGTTGCAATCTCAGGCATCACCCAGAACCACAAGTGCTGAGAGCCCAGAGAAATGCAAATCTCAGTGGTAATCTTGAATATTTTATCCAACAACTAAAAGCCATTTACTTAATGGAAAGTATTTCAATGCATGATGCCATTCCAATCAAGGTTTAATTCATTTGCAGGCAGACTTTCAAGAGCGTGAACCTGCCTTTTGCTTATAAAAGGAGCCACTCCACTGTTAAATTTCACGGGAATTTAAACCATCCATTCACTGCCAACCTGATCTAGGTTTATCCCTCTGATGCTACAGTTACCTCTTTGGATTCATTGGAAACATTTCTAGCCAACAGGTCCAACAGAGATTGATCTTGATGTACCTGGACTCTGGAAAGCGGTGGTGGAGGCTGGGCCTGGATTGCATTATAGTAAAGGCAACCTGAGATGACTCTGGGGTATGGGGAACTTGGGGGAAGCAATGATCAAATAGGGTTTCATTTACACCTTTGCTTGTAATTTAGATGTCTTGTCTAGATTAAAGCCATTAGTGGGCACAAATGGAGAAAATGTGTTTGAGTGTGATATGGTTTGAATTTCTAATATCTAACTCTGAATCAAAACCAGAGACAAGAGTAATATGGACATACAGAAGAAGCCAGAGAGAATCAAGACTGTTTGGTTAAGGGTTGTATCTGATTTCATGATAAAGGGGAAGTTAGGACACATAATAGAAATCACTATATATTATTTATGTATAGTCAGGGTGCTATATTAAATTTATAATGAATTTTCTATGGTTCTCGCCATAGAGTATGGATTCAGTCATTTTCAAGACACATTTGGTAATTTCCATAAATTCCCATGGTAATGAACCCCTTCAGGTACTGTTAAACACAAGCTGTCTGAACTGGGGTGGATTACATCAGACTAGAGTCAATAGTCTGTAAATGGTCCTTCTTCTCAGAATTCTGTCTCAGTGAGACCTGTTTTTATAATGAAATGGAAACCTCCTTCCCCCAGAATTTCTTGTAAGAAGAATTTCATTTTTATTGAATTGATTGGGGTGACATTGGTTAATAAAATTATATAGGTTTCAGATGTACAATTCTATCATATGTCATTGGTATATTGTATTGTGGATATACACCCCAAATAGTCTCTTCACATCACTACTTATCCCCTGTACCCTTTTCTATCCTCTCCCCGCTTTCCCTCTGGTAACCACCATACTGTTGTCTGTGTCAATGAGTTTGTTTTTTGCTTAATCCCTTCATCCTTTCACCCAGCCCTGAAATCCCCCTCCCCTCTGATAGCTGTCTGTCTGTTACTCTATCTATGAGACTGCCTTTATTTTATTTGTTAGTTTATTTTGTTCATTAGATTCCACATATGCGTGAAATCATATGGTAGTTGTCTTTCTCTGACTGGCTTATTTCACTTAGCATAATGCTCTTCAGGCCTACCCATGCTATTGCAAAAGGTAAGAGTTCCTTTTATTTTTTTTATGGCCAAGTAGTATTCCATTGTGTAAATGTACCACAGCTTTTTGATCCACTTACCCACTGATGGACACTTGGGCTGCTTCCAAATCTTGGCTATTGAAAATAACGAATGCTGCAGTGAACACAGGGGTATACACATTTCAAAGGAATACTTTGCTAAACCACTTAATGTGGAAGTGTGAGATGCTAAGGACATGTCTAGTAGTAAAAGATGGTTTCTACACTACCACATACGCTATTAGGAAAGGAATCTGCATCCCTCCTAAGAAGCAGAAGGAAATAGAGAAGAGTGAACACTGCTGGGATAAGGGTGTGGACCACAGAGAGAAACGCCTCAGTTATGGGCCAGGGGAGGGTCTCGAGAGGTGGAAGTGTCTAATATGGACTCTGATGCTCCTCCTTGCTTAGAAAGAGGTGTATGAGAGTGTTGAGAGCGTGCAGGCGCAGGTGTGTGCATATGTGTGTATGTGTAGGGAGTGATTTACATCTGATCTCCTCTATGTCCTCATCTTTTACTAAAATCCACATTGATCACCAGTTTATTTGTGAACATAGATTCTTCTGAGTTCCAATTCCAGGTAACAGTGGTGGTGGGGGTGGGCACGGAGATGGTACAAACCCTGACACTAAAGAGAAGGAGGCATTGACATTTGAGTTATTATAGTGCTACTACTAATAACTACTATATTTTAGAATGAAACAGTATATTGATGTCTGTAAACAAGAAATATAATCTAACAACTAACAAATGATTCTTTTTTCCCCCCCAATCCTATATAATAAAAGGCAAACATGCAAACAGACCAAATGGTGGAACAAACAACCGGTGGCACTGATATGTGCTGACCACCATGGGTGTGCTGACCACCATGGGTGTGCTGACCACCATTGGGTGGGTGGTGGCAGCAGAGCACAGAACATGGCAGGCATCAGCCATGGCGGGATGGTGGAGGTAAGCGGGGGCACCAGACCAAAGTGGGGCCACTGGTTGCTGTCATCGGGTTGAGCCTCTGCTGGTTACTGAAAATCATTTGCTGCCACAGTCCAACCTGGTGCTCGTACCTGCTGCAGGTGCCTGGCGCTGGCCCTAATTGCTTGGCACCATCAGTGGGTGTGAGCAGCAGCTACAGGCCCTGATCACCCCTTAGGGCTTCTCCACCTCCTCTGATCCTGAGAGGCATCAGGGCAGCAGCTGCTACTTGCACCCGCTAATGGTGTTGACCCCAATTGCTCTGCATGGTCAGCAAGTGGGAGCGGCAGTGGGGGTGGGGGCAGGGGTGGGAGCTGGGCTCCCAGGAGACAGGGGACCAGGGGCTGCAATGGGAGGACCCCGGGGTGGGGCACGGAGGATGGGCTGAGATCTGCCCCTGTGTCCACTACAGTCTCATGGAGCACAGTTCTTTTCAAAGTTCACGAATTCATGCACTGGGATCCTCGTAGAAGTATAATTGACACCATAATTCATAGATCTAATAATCCTTTTCTGCCTTAGTCACTGGCAATGTTTACTTCTTCTGGGGTTTCTAATAATCAGTGCCTGCCTGCCCCTGGCCCTCACACTCACAGAGAAACAACTGGCACAAGTGATAGTTGGGGGAGGAGAGGAGAAGGTAAGGGAGGGGCTGGCCATCTCAGGATTCCGTGACTTTATCTGTGATAGTCGTGCAGATTTTTTGTGAGAGGATTAATAAACTATAAAATAAAAAAAATAAAAAAAAAAAAGGATTAGGTGAGATGATACAGATAAGGCCCTTCCATCACATCCCAACATACAGTAAACACTTAACAAATGTGACCAATTATTATTAATAGTAATAACAGGAACACATTAGTCCTTCTGCCTGCTTCTGTCTCTAGGGAAGGTGTTGCCATGGCACAAGGACAATTACCTCAAAGACCCAAGAGAGACAGGACTGGGGTGGGGATTACTCCTCTGCCCCCGAAGATCCAACAGAGAAGTTAAGGTGGGGCCGACCTCTCTCACTACTAACTCTTTTTTTCCTCCTTTAATTGTGACCAAAGAAAGCCTTCAGCATTCCTGGCAATTAGATTGAGGACTCTCAGTTCCAAATGCATCTTTGATAGATGCCTCTAACTGCATCTAAGTGGTCGGAGCATTTCTCTCAGCATTTAATGCTAATCTTCTCTGTCATCTAGGCATAAATAACTGCACAATCATGTCAGGAGGTCCAACATAAATCCACCAGGGGTTTTAATTACTCTCCAGCGAGTGTGTCTTATACAAAATCAGAGACACAAAATCCCAACCAGTGAGTGTGTGTGTGTCTGCGAGTGTGTGTGTGTGAGTGTTTGTGTGTGTGTGTTAGTGTGTGTGAATGTGTGTGTGAATGTGTGTGTGAGTGTGTGTGTGAATGTGTGAGTGTGAATGTGTGAGTGTGAATGTGTGTGTGAGTGTGAATGTGTGTGTGAATGTGTGTGTGAGTGTGAATGTGTGTGTGAGTGTGAATGTGTGTGTGAATGTGTGTATGAATGTTGTCTGTGTGTGTGTGTGTGTGTGTGTGTGTGTGTGTGATAGCTCCAGCCCAGCCATGGAAGAATAAGATCAGAATCCACACCCAGTTCAGGGTATGACAGCACTGCACCATGTAGGCTTGGTCAGGAGAAGGGATGATCTTATGTTGACATTGCTTGCATCACTGTTTCTTCTTCTAAGGGCACACAAATCTCAGCCTGCTGCAGCCTCACTGTTTCATCCCAGGCAATCTCCCTAATCCTCAAATTCCTAATCTGTGTGCATACGACATAAGGTTGTTGTAAGGATTAACAGGTCATCTATGCAAACCACATTTTGTAGTATACAGTAGGTGCTTAATAAATATTAGCAACACCAAGAGAAATGCAGAGGGCGTCCCCATCTCAGCTGCAAAGCACAGGGTGTTAGGAGGGTCCAAGTGTCTTTTCTCCCACTCAGGACTCTTAGCTCCCATCTGTGCCAAAGAGTAAGCATAATGAACAAACTGCTATAGATCTCACAAATTCAAAAACAAACCCCTACAAGTTCATTTTACATATAACTTCTATAAATCAAGGCTCAGATAATCCAGTCTTAGAGGGTTATCCATTTCAAAGAAACAGTCCAGCAACCAAAGTAAATCAAATCCCTTATGTAGGTTCCTCAGATTCTATCAAAGGTTGACTCAAATAAAACACTGACATACTTCTTAATGCACCATTGCTTTCCTCTTAGACTCTATTACACTATTTAGCAGCCCTGGAACTTCTCTTCAATGCCCTAGAACTCTGCAAACACAAAGTCTAGTGGGTTCACTGTTTCTCAATCCACTCACCCGCCCTTTCCCCAACTATCTTTTCATTATACAGAGCAGCTGTGCCTTTCTTCTTCATCATTGTTAATTCATAACTTTATTTGCAAATACAAAAATGCAAAAATAAAAAGCCTTACCAAATTAGAAATGTATGTCTCCTATCTCTCCTTTGCCTTGTCTTAAAAAAAAAAAAAGAAAAGGTCATTAAGTTGTTAATAATAGCGAACTCTACTATTAAAGCCGCCCCTGAGGTAAATCATTGGAAGGATAGAAAAGAAACGACAAGGAACGATTAGTGCTGTCAAGTAGCTGATCTGTTTTCATAAAATACGTCAGGCATAAATGGTATTTGTGTGATGTGGAGGAGGCTCTGCCCCTCTCCCCTCCCACACACACACAAAGGAGGGCAGAGACGTGCAAAGTGGTAACTGGCAGGTATCTAGATATGGGGCCACTGCCCTCTAGTGTGTACTCTAAAACTTATAAAATCCCTTTAACCTGGTTAATCCCAAAGACAGTAGAAAACAGAATAAAACATGAGCCCCCGTGGAACTATCCAACAGAATCATTTTAAAATAATTTAAATCATTGAGAGAGTGCGATCTAATGACTTCCCACACCTCACTGTCTGTTGGGGCCCACATTCCCATCAGGCCATAAACATTGATTTGTTGTTTCAGTTGCACAGATTGCCAAAAGAACAAGAGAGATATTAAACATGTTTAACAACGTGGTGTGGCACAACCACTGGCATTCAGAACAGATGCCCACAAGCTGCCAGCTGGCAGCAGTTCTTAGGGGCACCTCTAGGGCCAGCATTCACCCCCCCCTCCCTTTTTTTTTTTTTTTTTAATATTTTATTGATTTTGTACAGAGAGGAAGGGAGAGAGATAGAGAGTTAGAAACATCGAAGAGAGAGAGTCATCAATCATACCCCCTACTTGACCGGAATTGAACCAGGGACCCTTCAGTCCCCAAGCTGATGCTCTATCCATTGAGCCAAACAGGTTTCGGCCAGCATTCACCCCTTAAAGACTGATTCAATCGGAGGCTGCAGGTTCCTGGGAGATAGGATTAGGTACCCAGGAGAAGAGGGGCCTGGTACAGAAGTACGTCAATATTGTGACAACCGTCATGTATACTGCGGTGCTGTGGCTGAACATTAGCTCCACAGAGGGAACCAGAGGACATGAAACCAACAACCCAGCACCAGCCGGCACCATGGAAGAGCGACCTAGAGCCGGACAGCAAAGCTCCTAAGGAGAGGGTGCGGGGCCCTCATTTCCCACCAGCACCGGTTCTTTCTCTAGCCAACAATGAGGCACATGCCCCTAGTCCAGGGCAAGGTCATGGAGGGGT